GTTGGACAGGCTAGTCTGGAACTCCTGACCTCAGGTGATCCACCTGCCTCAGCCTCTCAAAGCGTTGGGATTACAGGTGTGAGCCACAACGCCCAGCTCTAGTCTCTTTTTTGGTTCTCCCTGTATATCCTGGGTTTCCTCTGGTAAGGTTTTCTTTCCTCATGCTACACATGTTCCATGGACTCAGCTATTTCCTGCGTGATGAGGGCTCCTGAATCTGGCTCCCACTTCTTGACTCAGATTTCTAGTGGCTGCTGAAACTTTCACTTGTCCCTGCCATACTTCTTCCAGTCTTTCTGCGCTCCCAGAGTGGCCAGGCCCAGACTGGGAGATGCATCCTTGACTCTTCCCTCCCCCTACTGTCTTACTTCCAGTCACCACATCCTGTCAATTCTATTTTCTCAATAATAGTCCCTTTGTCGACCGACCCTCCTTCCCCCTCCCACTGACAACCCCTCAGCCTCTCTTGCTGGATTGTTGTAGCAGACTCCTCTCTAATCTCCCTGCGTCTGGAATAGCCAGAGAATCATCTTTTTTTTTGAGACAGTTTCGCTTTGTCACCCAGGTTGGGGTGCAGTGGACTGATCTCGGCTCACTGCAACCTCTGCCTTCCAGGCTCAAGCGATTCTCCTGCCTCGGACTCACGAGTAGCTGGGACTACAGGCACACCACCACCACACCAGGCTATTTTTTTTCTCTCTTGTATCTTTAGTAGAGATGAGGGTTCACCATGTTGCCCACGCTGGTCTCGAATTGCAGACCTCGTGATCCTCCCGACTTGGCCTCCCAAAGTGCTGGGATTACAGGCGTGAGCCACTGCACCCGGCCTGTTCTTTTTGTTGTTTTGTTTTGAGACGGAGTCTCGCTCTGTTGCCCAGGCTGGAGTGCAGTGGCGCGATCTGGGCTCACTGCAACCTCCGCCTCCAGGGTTCAAGAGATTCTCCTGCCTCAGCCTCCCGAGTAGCTGGAATTACAGGTGCTCGCCATCATGCCCAGCTAATTTTTATATTTTTAATAGAGACGGGTTTTCACCATGTTGATCAGGCTGGTCTAGAACTCCAGACCTCAGGCCGTCTGCCCGCCTTGGCCTCCCAAAGTGCTGGAATTACAGGCATGAGCTACCGCACGCCAGATTTTCTAAAATAAAGTTTAAGAACAAATGCCCCATTATTTTTATAGAATTATAATTGTAGCGTTTTCCTTTTCATAGCATGTAGTATCTTGCGGATTTGTTTGCATGTCTGTTATTGATCTCCCTGACTAGAATCCACCTACTAGGTAATCAATAAATACAAAAGATATTTGTTGAAGAAATGAGAAATGCCTCTTGGGCTTATTTATAGTTTAGACTGGCTAAAGGCACTGAGATGGGGAGTGAGGAAGAGGAAGCGATTTTTCTCCTGGGAAATGAGCCGGGAGGACCCTTCAGGATGGGACTTGACTGAGCATTGCGAGAAGAAAGAGCTTTCCGATCAGCGGGGACCTGCGCTGAGGCCCAAAGGTCATGAGGTCGCCGATGATAAGAGCTTCTTGGACTGTAGCTGGGTAATGTTGGAGGCCCAGCACCTCCAAGAGATAAAGAAATCTGATTTGACTTTCCGTTCCAGTCAGCTCCAAGCCTCCCAGGGATGCAGGGACTGCCCATTCCCTTCATCCACTCCCACCCTTTCCGGTCCCCTTGCTCTGCCATTTTTTGCACTCTGCAAATCTTTCACCAAACTGAGCAAAGTTAGTCTGAGAGAAATCAGTCTTCCTCAAGGGAAGTTCAGGCCTGGGGTCCTCAGACATCCAGGGGCTCCGTGACCATCTGTGACTGCTGAGCAGTCTAGGGACACCGCCTCTCCACGTTCGGGACCCTTGTTTCTGAGGCCCAGCTTGGTGGGAAGCTAAAGGCATGCGGAGGAGGGGAAGGGGAGAGCGTGTCTGAGACTTCGGCATGGCGGGGACCGGGACCTCAGCCCGGCATGGCGGTGACGGCGGCCTCAGGAGATCCACAATTGTCAGGGCTGGGGGCCACTCCCGGCGTGGGCAACGGCGGAAGCCGAGGTGTCGCAGGATAGGCCAGGGTCGGTTTCCGTTCGTCGGTCCTGCGCGGGCAGATCGGGCGCTGCGGGGCCGTGCCACCTCGCACCCTCAGGAACAAAGGGCTTGGCTGGGCGCGGGTACCCATCCGTTGAGTTAGAATCGCCTTCGGGAAACCCCTAATCTGTGCAAGCCGGAAGAGGCCAGCGGCAGCTGGAGAATGTACTGCTCTCGCGAGGTTTTCCGAGAACGCGGCGCCGCGCCCGCGTACACAATTACCAAGGTAACTGGGCGGTGCCTGAGCGGGCGGGAAGGAGGCGTTCGGCTGGATTTTGTCCGCTTGCGGGGAGACTTCAGGAGTCGCCTCTTTGAACTTCCGGCCTCTGACACCGCTGCCCCTGTCCCCGAGGGCCATGGGCCGGGTCTCAGGGCTCGTACCTTCTCGCTTTCTGACGCTCCTGGCGCATCTGGTGGTCGTCATCACCTTATTCTGGTCCCGGGTAAGACCCACAGCTGCCATCCGTCCGCCCCTATTCCCACCTCGGAGTGGTCCCAGCCCCACCTTGCCTCTCTCCCAGTGTCTTACCCACTTGGGTCTTCTCGTTCCCCGCCGCCCCCAGGCCTGCTTCGCCGCCCGCCCCTTTTTCACTTCTCTTCCTCTCTGCCCTGCCCCCAGGACAGCAACATCCAGGCCTGCCTGCCTCTCAGGTTCACCCCCGAGGAGTATGAGAAGGAGGACATTCAGTGAGCTCTCTCAGAATGGGCTGGTCAGAACGAAGAGGTGGTGGGAATGGAGGGTTCTTAGAAGTCCAAGGGCCTCAGGCTGTCCACTTCCTTTCTGCAGGCTGGTGGCCGCCCTCTCTGTCACTCTGGGCCTCTTTGCAGTGGAGCTGGCCGGTTTCCTTCTAGGAGTCTCCATGTTCAACAGCACCCAGAGCCTCATCTGTATCCTTTCTGCCTGCCCACCTTTCCCACACTACCCATTTCCATCAGGACTCCCTTCAGCCACCTGACACCATAATGTCTGCTGTAACCAGTCTCTCCAGTTCAGAGATCTTCAAACATGTGCTAAATCCTGCTGTTTACTAGGCACTTAAAATCCCAAAATGAGAGTAAAACAGTTTTTGGCCAGGCCCATTGGCTCATATCTGTATTCCAAGCAGTGTGGGAGGCCCAGGCAGGAGGATCACTTGAGGCAACAGAGTGAGACCCCATGTCTACAAAAATAATAGTAATAATAAAAACTTCACCGTTGTTTTTTTTTTTACCATGAGGAGGAGGCAGACACATATCTCTATTTCAGTGTGATAAGCACGGTGCTATAGAAGTGTGTAAAGAAGGGGTGGGCGCGGTGGCTCACGCCTTTACTTCAGGCAACTTTGGGAGGCCGAGACAGGTGGATCATTTGAAGTCAGGAGTTTGAGACCAGCCTGACCAACATGGTGAAACCCCATCTCTACTAAAAATACAAAAATTAGCCGGGCGTAGTGGTGCACGCCTGTAACCCCAGCTACTCGGAAGGCTGAGGCAGGAAAATTACTTGAACCTAGGAGGCAGAGGTTGCAGTGAGCCGAGATCGCGCCACTGCACTCCAGCCTGGGCAACAGAGTGAGACTCCGTCAAAAAACAAACAAAAGGTAGAAAGCACAATGGGAACTCAGAAATGGCAAAGGAAATGAGGCGCGTGGTTCAGAGAACTGTGGACCAGGAGTACTAGGACACTGGAGGCTGATTCCAGCAGAGCATATCAATTCGCTGTCAGCACTCCTGTGCGGCATGGTAGGAGAGCCTACTCTTACCTCTCATCTGAAGGGTCCAGGCTGGCCTCTACATGTGGGGTAGGCTAGCCTGAGGTCCCATCTATGCAGTTACTTCTGGTCTCTCCTCATATGACCATCCTACAATTCAGAAGTCAGGGCTGCTGACTCTAGCCCTTGCAATATGGTGAGGGAGCAAGCGATGAACCTGAGTGCAGATGCCAACCCCACCACTGACCTTTTCTGACCCATCACTACCTGTCGATCCAAAGACTTTCCTTAACTCTGGTGTCTTCCCAAGCCATTGGGGCTCACTGTAGTGCATCCGTAGCCCTGTCCTTCTTCATATTCGAGCGTTGGGAGTGCACTACATATTGGTACATTTTTGTCTTCTGCAGGTGTGGTAGCACCCCATATTTGGGGATGAGGGAGGAAGGTTTACCCTAAATCTGAAAGTTTTTCCCCACCCGGCCCCTTCCTCCATGCATGAGATCCTGTAGTCTTTTTCATCCCCCATCCCCATGCCACCTGCCCCACACTTTCAGGGGCGGGGTCTCTGGTTTGGAGATTTGTGTATTTACAGTGAAAGGATTTCTGAATCTACCACCTGCCTCGGTAGTGCCCTTCCAGCTGTCACTGAAATGGCTTTATTCATCGCCATCTTTGGGCTGAAAAAGAAACCTTTCTGATCACTGTCCTGACGATCGAAGGCTACAGGGGAGGCCGCTTCGTATTCCTGGAAGAAGGAAGGCATAGGCTTCAGTCTTCCCCTCGGAAACTGCTTCTGCTGGAGGATATGTGTTGGAATAATTACCTCCCGAGTATGGGATTATCAGCGTTGTATTTAGTGTTTTGTAATAAAATATGTTTTGTAGTAAGATCAAGAGTTATATACAGTTTTCAGGGGACAATTGGGATGACTTAACTATTGACGAAAGAAACAACAACTACGCTGTTTTCTAGTCCTGCAGAACGTAAGATACTTGATATCGCTTCTATTTCGGTTATTACGGTAGACGTCTGGCGGAAGGGAGTGGGCGGGGATATGTAAATAAAAGTGCGTACAGTTAGAACGTCCAGCACGTAAGTTATTGGAGCATTCTGGGAAGAAATAATTTATTCCTTTTCTGCAGCTGAATGAAAAAAAATTATTTTAAAAGAGGTGCAAGCAAATATAGCAATACAATTGGAAGGATGCTAAGTAACAAAGTTGCTCGTACCGACGCGTTGTATATTCACCCTAGCTTATAACGGAATATTTTTCACTGAGTGCGGAATGTCCGGGGTTTACGAGATATCGTCAGGTGGGATAATCCTTACCTGTTCCTCCGTTGGAGGACAGATAAAGCATGATGATTGGAGATGCATGAAACGTGATTAACGTCTCTGCGTAATCAGGACTTGCAACACCCTGATTGCTCCTATCTGATTTTTCCTGACGATCATTTTTCTATCTTTTTGTGTTAAAGAGTAGAATTTAAGTAAAGTTGTTGTTATGCTTCGCTATTTGCATTTTTGCTAGAGGATTTTCAAGTTATCGTATTGATGTTGCTGAGGTTTGTGCCTGAAAATTGTGATTTGTCTTTCTGTTATTACTTCCTGGAATTAAGGAGTTGCATTAATACAAAATGGACTTCTATTTTTCTTTATTCTTTGACGCTTACCTCTTCTCAGAAAACATTGCACATCGGTAACTCTAATGTGCATATACTGGTGGTTCCTCTTAGGATGTGCGAAAGCAATACTCATTCAATAGGAACTATGTTTCGCTTGCTTGCTTACTTGTTTGCTTTCCTCTCTTCCACCTTTGCTTTTGAGGTAGAGTCTCGCTCTGCCGTGAAGGCTGGAGTACACTGCTCACTGAAACCTCAGCTTCCCGAATTCAACAGATTCTCCTTCCTCAGCCTTCCAGGCAGCTTGGATTACAGGCAGGTGCCACGATGCCTGGCTGTTTTTTTTATTTTTTGTTTTTAGTAGAGACAGGGTTTCACCACGCTGGCCAGGCTGGCTGGTCATGAACTCCCGACCTCAGGTGATCTGCCCCTCTCGGCCTCCCAAAGTGCTGGGATTACAGGCATGAGCCACTGCTTCTGGCCTTTTTATTTGTAAATTTTTTGCTAGTCATACTTTATACCAGTACAATTTATCATACAGTTATGTATATACATAGATATATTTGTTTTTGGAGAGTTGGTTGTTAAATATCTACCAGTACACCCCCAAGGAACTGCTTGTCACCAATGACTTCTCATTCCCAAATCCAGACTCACTTTTCAGACTTGAGCTTGACCTCTCTTTATCATATGGTATATTGACCATCCTCTCTCTATTTTTTTTTTTCTTTTGAGACATTCCCACTCTGTTACCCAGGATAGAGTTCAGTGGTGGGATTATGGTTCACTGCAGCCTTGAACTCCCAGGCTCAGATGATCCTCTCGAGTAGCTGGGATGACAGGTGAGCACCACCATGCCCATAAGTTTTAAAATTTTCTGTAGAGACAGGTTCTCACTGTGTTGCCCAGGCTGATCCCAAATTCCTGGGCTCAAGCCATCCTCCCTGCTAGGCCTCCCAAAGTGCTAGGATTACAGGCATGAGCCACCGTGCCTGGCCCACTCCCCTCTTTTGCACTTTTTCCTTCCTTAGTTTTGGAACAATGGTTCCCCTGGTTTGCCTACCACTGTTCAGGTTGTTCCTTCTCACATTCATTCAATAAATACTTAGTACCTGCAGTGTGTCAGTTACTGGGGACATAATACTGGGTTGTCTCCTCTACTTGCTCCATAAGTGCCAGTGATCACTACTCCTCGGGTGAACTTCATCCATCTCTTGTTTTCAGACGTCAATTAGATGCTGCTGGTTTCCAGATTCCAGCTCGCTCATTTGAGCCCTAGCCCAGGGCAAGGACTAAGGACTACAGGAACAAGCTCTGCAGCCAGACAGCCTGCCAGGTCCAAGTGCGGTTTTTTTCTGTTCTTGGTTGTGTGATGGGCAGGAGGTCACTTTCCCTCTCTCTGCCTCAGTTCCCTCATCCACACACTTTTTTTTTTTTTTTTTTGAGAGGGAGTCTTGCTCTGTCACCCAGACTGGAGTGCAGTGGCTTGATCTGCAAACTGCACCTCCCAGGTTCAAGCAATTCTCCTGCCTCATCCTCCAGAGTAGCTGGGATTACAGGCACCTACCACTGCACCTCGCTAATTTTTGTATTTTTAGTAGAGATGGAGTTTCACCATCTTGGCCAGGCTGGTCTTGTGATCCACCGGCCTCGGCCTCCCAAAGTGCTGGGATTACAGGCATGATCCACTGCACCTGGCTACACTCTCATTTTTTATGTGAGTAACAAGTTTGTCTCTGGGGTAATGCTGCATCAGCCTCAGGTGATCTTTTCCCACAGGGTTCAGGGACTTCATCAAGGCTGCATCAACCGTTTTGAACCTCTTGCTAATTTTCTGTAGTAGATTCCTGTATGTGTAGCAGAATTCTCCCGCATCTCCAACTTCTTCCAGGTGGTGGGGAAAGGCTATTTATACCCACCAAAGGGACAGATTGGCTCAGATCAGTTCACAACAGTATCTCATGGGATCACTAAGAGAATTAAGTGAGACAATACAGCTATCTGTTGGGATAAAAGGGTAGCAGAGTGTCAGGCCTGTGGTAACTGCTCAGTGCCTTTTCCCTGAGTTGATTTGGCTCTTGGGATTCTCCCATCATGGTGGACAGCTGCTGTTTTTGCCTGTTCAGCATCCATCCTTTTTTATGCTGATAGCACCACCATTTTTCTTTTGTTCTGTTTTTTTTTTTTTTTTTTTTTTTTTTTTTTTTGGGTTTCACACTGTCGCAGGGGCTAGAGTACAGTGGTGTGATCTCAGCTTACTGCAACTTCTGCCTCCCGTGTACAAGCAATTTTCCGCCTCAGCTTCTCAAGTAGCTGGGATTACAGGCGCCCAACACCACACCCAGCTAAGTTTTTGTATTTTTTTTAGTAGAGATGGGGTTTCACTATGTTGACCAGGATGGTCTCAAACTGCTGACCTTATGATCTGCCTGCCTCGGCCTCCCAAAGTGCTGAGATTACAGGTGTGAGCCCGGCCACCTCCCTGTTTTTAGTCCATGTGGTGAGAAAGAGGCTAATAGCCACTCCCTCCCTACCGTTCCTCTCTGGGCTCATACTGTTTTCCTGGGGGAAGTGAATTGTTGAAGCATAAACCTTGACAACATATGACTATTGCTGGAACTTTTAGGAAAAGAGAAGCCTGGACACTTCCTAGAAATAAAAGCATGCTATAAAATAAAATTATTGGCCGGGTGATACCTGAGGCTGGGAGTTTGAGACCAGCCTGACCAACAAGGAGAAACCCCATCTCTACTAAAAAAAATACAAAGGCACCATTGCACTCCAGCCTGGGCAACAAGAGTGAATCTCTGTCTCAAAAAAAAAAAAAAAAAAGGCTAGTCATGGTGGCTCATGCCTGTCGTCTCAGCACTTTGAGAGGCCCAAGTGGGCAGATCAGCTGAGGTCAGGAGTTCAACACCAGCCTAGTCAGCATGGTGAAACCCCGTCTCTACTAAAAATACAAAAATTAGCCAGGTGTGGTGACGCATGGCTATAATCCCAACCACTCAGAAGGCTGAGGCAGGAGAATCACTTGAACCCAGGAGGTGGAGGTTGCAGTGAGCCAAGATCATGCCGCTGCACTTTAGCCTGGGTGACAGAGGGAGACTCTGTCTCAAAAGAAAAAAAAAGCATAAAAGTACTTAACTCAAATAAATCTTGGAACTTTTAACCTTTATATTATATTTTGAATAACTTATTTTTTTTTCTTTTCTTTCTTAAGACAAAATCTCGCTCTTGTCACCCAGACTGGAGTGCAGTGGCGCAATCTCAGCATACTGCAACCTCCTCCTCCCGGGTTCCAGCGATTCCCCTGCCTCAGCCTCTCTAGTAGCTGGGACTACAGACACACGCTGCCATGCCCGGCTGATACTGGTACTTTTAGTAGAGACGGGGTTTCACCATGTTGGCCAGGCTGGTCTTGAAATCTTGACCTCAGGTGATCTGCCCATCTTGGCCTCCCAAAGTACTGGGATTACAGGTGTAAGCCACCTCGCCTGGCCTTTGAATAACTTTAGACCTACAAAAATGTTGCAAGGATAGTGGAAGGTTCCTGCCCTTCACACAGCTTTCCAAAATGTTACCATCTTGCATAACCAGGATATAATTATAGAAACCAGGAAATTAGCACTGATACCATGCTATTTACTAATCTACATCTCTTATTTGCATTTTATCAATTTTCCTGCTAATGCCCTTTTTCTGGTTTAGGATCTATTCTGGGATCTCCTGTCACATTTTAGTTGGCATATCTCCTTAGGCTTTTCCAATCTGAGACAGTTTCTCAGTCTTTTTTTTTTTCCTTTTGTGATCTGGACACATTTGAAGAGGATTATTTAGTTATTTTACAGAATATCCTTCAATTTGGATTATTATTTCAGTGTTTTCTCATGATTACATTGAAGTTATTAATTTTTGCCAAGAATGCCACGGAAGTAATATGCCCCCTTGGGGAATTTTTAAAAATAAATTTGGGGCTGGGTGCAGTGGGCTCCCACTTGTAATCCTAGCACTTTGGGAGTCGGGGGCGCGTGGATCATGAGATCAGGAGTTTGAGACCAGCCTGGCCAACATGGTGAAGCTCTGTCTCTACTAAAAATACATCCATTAGCCGGGTGTGATGGTGGGCACCTATAATCCCAGCTACTTGAGAGGCAGAGGCACAAGAATTCCTTGAACCCAGGAGGTGGAGGTTGCAGTGAGCTGAGATCGTGCCACTGCACTCCAGCCTGGTGACAGAGTGAGATTCTGTTACACACACACACACACACACACACACACACACA